TATCTTTGTACACATAAATAGAAAATAGGTTTAGGATTGTGAAAATATATTCCCATGTATTTTTTTATGTGTCTGCTTCAAGCAGCTTATGAGAATGATCAAGATTTATAGATGTCTTTTAATGGATGTAATTAATTTAATCTGACTATAAAAATCTAACTAAACTTTGTTAATATTGACACAGATTTTAATACAGGGTGCAGGAGGCTACCACAGTCACCGCAGCTGTCCAGGATACTCCATAAAAAAACAGTAGGCTATTTCATTATATAGTTTTATTTATTTTAAAAAATATCTGCTTTTTAATTTGTTTGTACACACATTTATATATATATATATATATATATATATATATATATATATATATATATATATATATATATATATATATATATATATATATATATATATATATATATATATATATATATATATATATATATATATATATATATATATATATATATATATATATATATATATATATATATATATATATATATATATATATATATATATATATATATATATATATATATATATATATATATATATATATATATATATATATATATATATATATATATATATATATATATATATATATATATATATATATATATATATATATATATATATATATATATATATATATATATATATATATATATATATATATATATATATATATATATATATATATATATATATATATATATATATATATATATATATATATATATATATATATATATATATATATATATATATATATATATATATATATATATATATATATATATATATATATATATATATATATATATATATATATATATATATATATATATATATATATATATATATATATATATATATATATATATATATATATATATATATATATATATATATATATATATATATATATATATATATATATATATATATATATATATATATATATATATATATATATATATATATATATATATATATATATATATATATATATATATATATATATATATATATATATATATATATATATATATATATATATATATATATATATATATATATATATATATATATATATATATATATATATATATATATATATATATATATATATATATATATATATATATATATATATATATATATATATATATATATATATATATATATATATATATATATATATATATATATATATATATATATATATATATATATATATATATATATATATATATATATATATATATATATATATATATATATATATATATATATATATATATATATATATATATATATATATATATATATATATATATATATATATATATATATATATATATATATATATATATATATATATA